GAAGGAGGGGGGGGGAGTCATGTTAGCTTTCAACTTCTCATGGGGGAGATGGGGTTGGTCAACCTCCCAAGTGGACTCAAATAAAGAACCTCCATTCAGCACAAAGCAGAGGGAAAAGAGAGGAGAGGGAGAAAAAGGGGGAGGGAAATAGGAAAGGGAAGGGGTGGTTGGGGGGAATATATATTTAAGCTTTAAACTTTAAAGTGTAAAAAGCAAAAATTTCAAACAGTGATGGGAAAAAGTGTCGGGTTTGATATAAAGCTTATGTATACTGGGTAGCATGGGGAGGATCCAGGATTACCTCAGGCCCTAAGGCACTTGGCCAATGCTCTCCAGTACCTTAGGGCATTTGAGTCCCTTGGGGCATATATTATGTACTTACACAAAGACTTCTCATTCGGAATCTGGTCATAATGCCCTTCATATACATAGGGTTCAGCCTCCTGACGAGTCGGTGAAACTCCAATGAAACACTCTGTCACAGACCCGTGTTTGTTCTTCTCTTCTCCCTCTCCCCCTACTGTTTACCAGGCAGTTCTATCTGACATTATATATGTACAGTGTACACGTATGATGCGTCCGTGCAACTCCGACTAAACAGTCTGTCACAGCCCCCATTTCTTGTCCTTTTCTCCTTTACTGCCTAAGGTTCACCGGGCACTTCTCCATGACAATATATTGTCACATAGCTATGAACTAAGAGAGCGCACTTTGCGAAAGAAAGGATACAGAACAAAAAACAAGGGCACATTGAAGACATTCAATTTCTCATTCTTCTTTTACCTCCCCCTACACTGTGCCTCTCACGTACAAGGCTCACCACATTGATGAAGTTGAGCGCGAGCTGGCCCCCATCCCCGTGTGCCATAACAGCCCACTTGTACGCTGTGAGAAACAGGCAGAGTGAATCGCCATACATCAGCAGCAGAAGTATAGGATATGCGCATGTCAAGCAGAGGAGGCAACGGGCTTGGGAATTTCGTCGATCACAGGAGCAGGTCTCCACAGTGTGCCATCTCCACCGTCCATAAGCATAATGCCCACGGCTGCCAGCTCATCGCGGATCTCGTCAGCCCTTCTCCAATCCTTATGCAATCTGGCATCGGCTCTTTCTCGCATCCGTGCTGCCAACTCCTCACCTGTCAGTCCTGCCCGCTGGAGCGCTTTCTGGCGCAGTTCTTCAAGCACCTGTACCAAAGCAAACAGAGAGAGAAAGAACCCAAACATTGATTATGCCTTCCAAAAAACTGGACAAGCCACCCACTTCTTTGCGTCTACTTTCCATTTCCAATTGGCTCTTTTTTTTTGGCTAATTAGTAATTAATAACTAATTACTAATTAGCAGTTTTTGCTGGATTGAGGTGACGGATGCTTGCTCACTTCTTTTTACATAAGACTATCTGAGGGTCGGTTCAAATGTGAAGCAGAGAGGTTCAGACTCTCCTCGAGAATAGGCAAAAGGAAATCAGCACTTACCAATTATATATTATTTTACTATTAAACCAATATAATGGCAATATTGTTAATTATGAATGATGGACATCATCTTGTTGAGTATAATACATACCTGCGGCGCAAATGCGGTGTGGTGCGCGTGGAGCGGTGCGCTGATTGTTGATGCGCAAAAAAAAACAAAAAAAAACAAAAGAAAGCCGCCGTGATATGTCTATACACGAGAGAGAGAGAGAGAGAGAGAGAGAGAGAGANGAGAGAGAGAGAGAGGAGAGAGAGAGAGAGAGAGAGAGAGAGGAGAGAGAGAGAGAGAGAGAGATGCGGGGTGGGTCTGCTCACCCTCAGGCTTATCTTCTACCCGCATTTGCGGCCAGATACATCCCGAAATGATAAGATGGGAGTACGCTGTGTGTGTGTGTTTTAAACAATCACCACATCAACCCCTTTTTCACTCAGATATGTGCATGCATGTGTCAGAGAGAGACATCCAGAGAGAAATAGCCAAGAGTCCGACCATGCACATGACTTTCACATCAAGCTCACACGGGACGGCACACACACAACACATGCGAAGTACACGTGAGATGTCACTCAGAGATAGTCTATAAGACGATGAACTCGATTACAGAAAAAAAAAAGGTCTTTGTACACACATGCAAAGTACATGTGAGATGTCACTCGGAGATAATCTCACTTGAGATGTCTTTGTAGTGTGTACAGGTGTTGCGCATATGCTCTCTCAGGTATGGTCTCTCTCGCTCTCTCTCAACCTCACTTATGGCCGCTCTCTTTCCCCAAGGCCTCTTGTCTCACTGAATTCCCTCCCCCTCTCTCTATAACTCGCACTACGCCCTAGCTATGGCGCACAGCGCCATCGACTACCACTACCAACTGACGAAGCAGTGCACAGTGGACTATCCCAAATAGCTCACCAACACTTCTGCAAGGTCTCGCAAGTGAATATGTGCTGACGACTTCCACAAATGGACTTCTGCACTTAACAATTTGCCTTCCAGACTTTCCAGACCGGTTATGGGCCGGTACTCTGCATATGTTTGCCGCTTCCAGAAGTTTGCAGATTTTCCTGGGACTTTGATGCTGACTGGACCCAACTGACAAAAAGGGACTAGAAACATCTACAGACTTTTCCTTCGCCTGCCAGTACCTACCAGAATCTTCCTAACCGCGGCCTACTGACCCTAACCTACATAGGAGTCAGAAATATGGTACACGCGATTGGGACTGACGCCGAAATTGAATTGAGACTGGGACAGGGACCAAGACTACATCGGTGAAATCCTTTCAGAAGCGTGAAACGGGTCTTCAAAATTACTGTTCCTAATGATTAATTATATAGCATGCGTTCATGGTTAGGTACATCCGTGCAACCACTAACTTGAGATATAAATGTCCTGTCCTGGTCCGTTTCTAACAGCTCGGTTTCTTTCTGATCATCTGCCACACAAGTCTGACCATCTGTCATGCAATGCACGTCTCACCATCTGCCACACATGTCTCACCATCTGCCACACATGTGTCTTACATCTGCCACTCATCCGCCATATGCCACACACGTTTGACCGTCTACAGCTACACATAGGGACCAGTCGTCCGCCATATGCCACACACGTTTGGCCGTCTACAGCTACACATAGGGAAAAGCCTGAAAATACACAGGACATGCATCTGATGGTGAACCCATGCCATATTCAGTGCGATACAGAAAAGAGTAGCACGGCCATCTGGCATACATGCATCCCAAAACGGGAAAACAATAACACAGCCGTCCTTAAGGACATCCATTGGAGTAATACAGAACACTTTAGCATCGTGCCTGGACAAGGATATGACACACACCCATCGAGAAATGCTACAAATTAAATTTAAGAAAAAACTTCAAAAACAGATTGAAAAAAGGGACAAAGCACGGCCCGTGCACAATGCACAAGTCGCCAAAAAGGACGACAACACCAATAGAGAAATGCTACATATTTTAAGAAAGAACTCCAAAAACAGTTTGAAAAAAGTGACATGGCACGTCCCGTGCAAAATGCACAAGTCGGCAAAAACAAGACGTTTACGACCTCCCCCAAAAAAGTGAAATCATCTCTCACACTCACACTTCTTTTGGTGGACACACACACACACACACACACACACACACACACACACACACACACACACACACACACACATTATCTGTGACCGAAAAGCACCTATCTCAACATCCCCCTGCGTGCTGTGCACAGTGTGGTCAAGCACAGTGGTCCTGCGCACCGCACAGGTCCGCCACAAGTATGCCCATACTCTATCCGGCTCTGGATCCACCTCTTGCATATCTATCTCGGCTTTGACATCCAGATTACTATTCTGAAACTGCACCCCATTTGGAGGCCTGAAGAGCAAGCTTCAACAATAGCACCAGTTTACTCACTTCTTCCATAAGCGGAAGTATTGGATGGGTTCAAGGCTTCAAGCCCTTTGATGCCAAGGCAGCCATTTTGACATCTGGGCACCCCATGGAAAAAGATTGTGCCGCACCGGAAGCATAAGGGCCAGATCCCACTGGCAAAGAGGATTGGAATAAGCCTCTGAATCTGGACGTGTTTGTGGAGAGGTGCAAACAGTTGTTATTGAACTGATTTTATGCATCTTCGTGTTTAACACGTCCAGATTCAGCCACTTATTCCAATCCTCTTTGCCAGTGGGATCTGGCCCTAAGTAGACCAGAGTCGCTGTGACCAGTCGGCCTGACGTTCCAGGTTGGGCACGCCAGACTCGTCGCCAGTGCTGATAGTTTCTTTAGGTTCAGCAAAATAGGTTCTTGATACTGGTGGTTTAATCCCCCCCCCCCCCCCCCCCCCCCCCCCCCCCCCCCCCGAACACCACAACAGGTCACAGAGAGCTTGAAGGAATCTGGTCCAATCTAGACCTGGGCCCATCTAACAGGTCCAGATAGGCCCACTTTAGCACCGAGAGCTTGCAGCAAATTTTACGCGACGACTCACAGAAAACTTGCAGCAAATTATATGCTCTAGTTCCCCCTTCACTGCCCCCAAACACCAAATACCAAACACAGCTCACAGAAAACTTGAAAGAATCTAGGCCCATCTGGGCCCATCTGGATCTGACAGGTTCAGATAGGCCCACTACAGCACCCCACCATCCCCATGCCATTTGCACAGTCAATCTATTGACGATCTGACAGGTTCACATAGGCCCTCTACAGCACCCCACCATCCCCATGCCATTTGCACAGTCAATCTATCTATCGACCTCACGGGTGAATGGTACAAGTCCCCGCAGGCCCATCGGAAGGCTGGCATCTGGGACAATCTGACAGCCTGGCACAGGTCCAATGCAGGTGATTGGCAACTGCAGCTGTCCCAGCCGTTATCTTCGAACCGTTTGCATACAACCGATTTTTGGGGACTCAGCCTGTCGGACCTCTCTGGCTGGTGCCACCAGCCAAAAGACAAAAAAAATTGCTCCACCGCAGTTCGTTTTTTAGGTTCGGAGTCCAGCACAAAAGTCCAGGTTGGGAAAAAGAGGCTTGGAGGTACTGGCGGTTTAAGAAAATAGAAATCAGGAGAATTTTGTTCACCAAAATTACCTGGAAGAGATAGAAGACGCGATCAGAAGCTTCCTCCAACTGCCTCTTGGCATAGTTGATTGGCGATCGATAGTGAGTGCCCAGCAGAAACCATCTCAGGGCAAGCGGATGGTACACATCCAACACCTGGCAAGATGGAAACACAGACCGAAACAGCCATGCATAAAACTTTTAAAATTTGTCGGGAACTGCATGTTTCACAACTTCAAATTCAAGACATGTGTCACTTCTCTGCCGTGCATGTGCACCCCTAAGAGCGGCCAACAGACAAAAAATGTTCTCTGACATATCTGTCATTTAAACCACCACTACCTCCGGGCCTCTTTTCCGCCTCACCGCACACCAAGCTTTGCCAAAGCGCCCGCATGACTTTCTTTTCTTTCCTTTGGCTGGCGCCGCCAGCCATTTTGGTCCGGTGGCACTGTTCACCTGGAAATCGTGGACAAGCACTTTTTGGTGTCTCGGCGTAGCCTGTGAAAGGTAGCACTGTTCACGGGAAGCACTGATTAACTACCATATATTGTCACTTCCAAATTTTTGAATTGCTCATTGGCAGGAAAAAAGGCCGTAGGTAGCCTTTATTATTATGAAAGTTGGTCGGGGTCTGAACTTTGATTAACTCCTAACCCAGGCTGTATGTCTGCAGCACTGTTTATTTATGATTAGGACTGCAGACAGGTATTAGGTTTTTGACAGACACAATCACCACCTGCTCATCATGGTATCCACACCACTTGTGCACAAATATATTTCTAACAAAGTCCTAAACACTGATTCTGGCAACGGATCCTGGTTCGAACCAGAGTCAAGTCTATCCTGTGATCCTCAAACTACCAGTACAACCAGGCTTGGCGGCGCCGCACTGTGTGCCGAGCTTCGCCGAACCGCCCGCAGCGCACTGTTCTTCTTTTATGGCTGGCGGTGCCAGCCACTGTGGTCCAGTAGCTCCGAGCCTCCGAAATTCTAGGAGTAGGTGGTGAAGAGATCTTGCAAGGCCGGGCCCGTGTACTGGCGGTTTAAGAAGACTGATTCAGGTTTCAGACCAGGTGTCAACGTGCTCAGTGATCCTTGAACCACCGGTCGGTCTGAGCCTCTTTTTTTCCCAGCGCTGATTTTTGCCGCATGCCAATTCCTGCTGAACCAGTGGTGCGCGCTTTTCGCCTGGTGACACCAGCCTTTTCCATCCCGTAGACCCGACCCTCGGTTTTCCAGCAGCGGGTTAAATGGCGCTTTGGAACAAAATAGCCAGGAAAAGGCCTGGTTGTTTCACACTGATTCATCACTGATGCTTAGGAACTGCAAATGATCCTGGTGGTCATAACCACAGACCGCGCGTTCAGTATAGTCCTTAACTGTCTTAACACTAATTCAGCAAGGATGGTCGAACACTGCAACTAATCCTGTTTCGAACCAGAGTCAGTCTGCTCAGTGATGATTCAACACAGATGTTCAGAAGTTAGAACACTTAGGGTCTCGCTCCACTACTCTTCACATGCATAAAAGACAAAAAATATGGCGGTGCATCTTCCCGTGTTCTACCCAAATATTCGTTCTCATTTTCCACATTTGGTGAGTAGTGGAGCGAGGCCCTTAGTCCGCCTAGTGTCTCAAGCATCAGCGCAGCAGCATAACAAGTCAAAGTTGTTACTCAACCGTGTTTCATCAACGGTTTGCCGAAGGCATTCAGATTTTGAATGTGTTCACGAAAACCCTAGTGTAAGTATGTGGTACTACGTGCCCAAAAATCTCTCTACATGCACATGGAGGCGGCCGTCACCTGGGCCACCCTTACATCTGTCTCTTATACACATCTAGATGTGTATAAGAGACAGGAGAGAGAGAGAGAGAGAGAGAGAGAGAGAGAGAGAGAGAGAGCAAAGAGCCCTTCCACATAAATCGAAAGCCCCTGCAGGTAATCGGAAAGGGCCCTGCAGATAGCTAGCAAGGGTCTCCTCGCCACGTAAGAGGTAGTCGTTGGACTTATAGCAGGGCAGTAACAGGCCAACTATATACGGTGTAGATTCGAATTCAGGTCCGTGTTTCAGCAGTTATGGGTTACTAAGTTACTAACTCAGCACGTGATTTTCCGGGCTTGGCTCCACTACTCACCAAATGTGCAAAATTAGAATGAATCTTCTGCTAGAACATGGAACCATACCCCGCCATATGTTTTCTCTATTGTGCAAGTGGTGACTAGTGGAGCGAGGCCCTTAGGGCCACTGCACGTAAGAAAAGGAAAACAATAAAAAAGAGAGAGCTACCGTTGTTAGTAGTAACCCATAATTGCTGGAACACAGACCTGAATTTGAATCCATAACATATATTGTTGGACTGCTCATGTCCCACCCGAAATGCGATGAATGTCTCTGTTAAGAAATGTGACCCTTTTCGGCCGGACGGAAGGAAGCGTGGGTGGGTTTCATGATGTAATCTTTTATTCTGACTTGCCGGTGGAATAGGAACCGGACTGATGCTCCCCAGAATGGAAATGGAGCCGGGCCCATAAGGACCTGTTAAAAAAAATAATAATAATAAAAAATGGGACCCTTGCTGACTCTCTGCTGGGGGCCATTGGGTAAACAGACTGGATCCAATGACGAGTACGATATGACCCCAATTATTTGTTTTCCTGTTGACTTAGAATTTTCAGAAGGGAGGGGCACATTTGGCTCCCACAGCTTGCCCTTACTGATTTTTTTAATTGGCCCTATTCATTGGGGTGCGCTGCATCACATGCGTGTGCGCTATGCGCCGCACGTGCACAACTCGCATGCACGTGATGCACCGCAGGAATGGTATGATATAAAAGAATAAGGTCGTAATTTGATTGAACGGTGGGGTTTAGAGCCTAACTAATCGGCATTCACTCACCACTACTATCGACGGCAGAGTCTCCGTTGATGTGCTTTTCCTTAGGCTACGTAGAGGTTTTAAAGTGCTCTCCATTGATGTGCATTTCCTTAGGCTACTTAGAGGTTTCACTGCCCTCCGGCAACTTCATTCGTTCGTAAAGGTGGCCAATGAACAAATTTAAAGACTTGAAAGTTGAAAGCTGAAATAACTTGTAAGCAAAGCTTTGTTCCTAAACTTGCTCAATATCAACAAAAACTTCAAAAAGAGAACAACTTGAAGGGGTGGGGGGTGGGGTGGGGGGTGGGGTGGGGGGGGGGAACCTCCGTTTCTAAACTTGGTCCATCTAAACGTGGTACAAGCGGTGTGCCACGCGATCCAATGGTTCAGCTTTCTTCTTCTTTTTTTCTTCGAAGAAAGACATCAACTTCATTCTTAGGGAAGGAAGACTTCCTTCCTTAGATACTAAACACTGTGTGCCTTATGCTTGAAATCTTATAGCACAATTTCTGTTCTTTTTCTTTGAAGTGAACATTATTACAAAGCTCATGCTGAAAGGGACTAAATGATCAAACTTCATTCATATCCAAAGCTTTAAAGTTTAAAGTTTAAAGTTTAAACCACACGGATGCTATACGGTCAACACATGAGCTTTTCATTCATTGATTAAACTTCATTCATATTCGAAGTTGAAACCATCTCGCCGTTATACATTCGATAATAGATCAACAATTAAGCCATAAAACCCATTGATCGACGCATTAGATTTCCAGGTCTCATGTTGTCTGACTAAGTGTCACCAGAGTCTCTGACACTGTCCAGACCAACTACAAAATGAGATAAATCATGAGATTGACACGCCCTCCCCCCCTCCCTCTCTTCCATTTGTCCGTCTGTCCATCCATCCATGAATTCAATCAAACAGACAAACAATCAATTCAACAAGACAATCAATCAATTGCCGGACCTGCTGACACAACATTGGGCCGACAACCAATAAATTAATCAATTAAAAATATCAATTTATCAAGTAGCTTCAGGTCAAAGCCAGTGATGTGCTAGATTATTTCATTTAAGTCCAAACCATGTGGCTGGTGTGATTGATTGGTTGATGGAAAGATGGATTGATTGATTGATTGATTGATTGATTGATTGATTGATTGGTCTATCTGATTGATTCATTCATTCATTCATTCATTCATTCATTCATTCATTCATTCATTCATTGAATGATTGATTGAATGACTGATTTGTTAGATAGGCTTCACTGGACTGATGGATTGACCGGACTGGTTGGATTGATTGCTTGGTTGATTGGTTGATTGATTGGTTGATTGGTTGATTGGTTGATTGGCTGATTGGTTGATCAGTTGGTTCAACCTACCAGTCTATCTAGCTTGCAGCTGTTTCTCTGCCACAGTTTTTTATCGTGAATTCATACTATCTTGCAGTTTTTTCTCTGCCGCAGTTTTTTATCGTGAATTCTTACTATCTCCATGGAAGCATACGTATCTCCATGACGCAGTATCGATAATAATCAAGTCGGGCGATATCCAGGGGACAGAGTGGAGGCATACTTATAATTCGTGTATAGTTCTGTTTCGTGTGTAAAGCACAAATTGTTTGAAATTTGAATCGATTGGCTGCTGTCAGTGATTATGTTGTCTGACAGGTGCATCTATGGACACACACCGGGCTGGGCAGCGACAATGCAAATGGTTCGATTTTAGCATGAATAATGCAAGCCTGCGGCTATAGCAGACGGCTGTGTGTGCACATGCTGCTAAACACAATTTGAAAGCAAAAGAAATAGAGACGCAAAACAAAAATTAAAAAGTAACTTGAAACTTGAACCACCAGTACTTCCGGAACATTTTCTTCAGGGGCTCCAAATGCCCGGCGCACCAAGCTTTGTCGAACCGCCAGCGCATCTTTTTTTTTTTTCTCTCTCTTTTGGTTGGTGCCACCAGCCATTGTGGTCCGGTAGCCCCAAAGCCCGGTTAACACGACGCATCAACGTAAAGGGCCCGCAGCCGATGTATGGGCAAAGTACTGATGATTTAAGTATGCCTTTCTTTTGTTCACTTGCATCCCTCCTCCTTGCTTTTTTTTCCCCACTTTTTTTTGTCTTGCTTTGCCAACGTGCTCTTGGCTCCCCACCTTTATTGCGGGATGATCCCATAATATATAAACAAAAACAGACAGGAAAGTGGTGAAAGATGCCTGATATGCCTGCTCGGCGATGAGTGGGTGTGTCACCTGCATTTCGTCTTTTTTTTTCTTAACGTAGTAAAGGGCCTTCTGGCCCTACCTCCTTTCTATCCCGTGAAGCAACAGGTCAGTTCCTTTTCCACTGTCAAACTGCGGCAAGTCACAACATATACAATCAAGATACAGCAACGATTCATTCCATTCAGGTCTAAACCTGCATTTTCTCTTCTTCTTCTTCTTCTTCTTCTTCTTCTTCTCTCTCTCTCTCTCTCTCTCTCTCTCTCTCTCTCTCTCTCTCTCTCTCTNAGGGAGGGGTAGCCCCGATTTTTATCGTGTCCATCTGAAGAATCCCTGATCAGAACAAGGATTCTGACACGATAAAAGTAGGGACTACCCCCCCCCCTCCCAAAAGAAACTAGGGGCCACCGCTGGCCCACCCCTACATTGTACAGATTGACATGATCATGTGAATGTCAAATTTGTTTACTATTTATTTACTAACAATTACATGTGTGTGCCATTCCGTCAGCCGCATGGACTAGCTGAATTTCAAATTTGGGATGAGCTTTCGATTGTAAATATCAAATTTGCGACCACATTTTCTAAGCATCAATGAGGCATCTGCAGACGCCAGAAAAGCAAGGTGCTGAACAAGAGCATGCATCTTCTGGTCAATCTGAGCACAAAAGTGGCATTTATCATCAGTCAATGGCAGCTCGGCTGCACAAGCACGATACACACCCGATGGTGCAGAAAAGCCTCTCATTCCTCCCAAATTATGTCTTTGAAAGAAAAGCCTCATAACGTATAAGGGACGTTGGTCCCGGTTTCCAGCAGGTGCTGCTCCCCACCAACGGACCGGAGACATCCACGAGGAAGGCGTCGATCCCGATGGTTCTTTCACCACCACGAGACCGTAAAACTTTGCCGGATTAACAAAAAAAGGAAATCATGACGGATCACAATTCAGAGGAAGTGCAGGTGTACTCAGATGGCGGCAGTAACGGAGGGTATTTGAGTCAAACACAGCTAGGCGCGACTTGGGAGGAGCTAGGATCCGAAAAGGAGTCTTTGGAAACAACACTTTGAGAAGAGTACCCAGCAGCAGCAGAACAGGACACAGAAGAGGATACAGGGAGAAGAAAAATCAGACTTGGTTTTACTCCAGCCACAAACGGGAAAAATTTAGAGGTGTAGGGAGGACAGGCCGGAGGTTGATACGGAAGATAAGACAGGGCGGAGCAGGCGGAAACCTCAGACGGTTAACAAACATGACATTCTGAATGACAAGGAAGTTTAGGCACCAAGGCGACCCGCAGAATTTTGGATAACTGGCCAAAGAGGGTTTAGGGTTTGGGGTTTTTGGAGCAACCCCTATCTCCGGACTCGAGACTAAGGGGGAGACAAAGTCTAAAGCGTGGGGCTTTGCAAGGGTAATCAAGGCTCTGCCAGAGTAGTGGTGGAGCTCTTTCTGGTTTTCTGAGGACATATCTGGCAGATCTGGGTAACAGATCTGAGAGGAAAGGGTGACGCACGGCAAACTGACAGTCAATCCTCCACTAGGTTGGAGTAATCAATGCTGTTCAGGGGTCCTTCGGCCAGACGGAAGGAAGCGTGGGTATATCATACTTGTAAGACTATTTTGACTTGCCGGTGGAATAGGAACCGGACTGATGCTCCCCAGAATGGAAAGGAGCCAGGACCTTCAAAAAAAAAAAAAAAAAAAAAAAAAAATCATGACGGAAACTAGACAAACATTCTCTCACCGAAATGGGTAGTGACTGCACAGCCTTGCATTGTGCATAAAACTCAAGAGGCTGTTTTCTTTGCAACGTCAGCAGAAATGTTGATAACAGAAATGTGCTGACATTGCCACAAAGACTCGAGACGACTCTCCAGGAAAAAGATATGAGCACATCGCCCTAAGGAAAAGAGTTCAACAGACTGATTCGACAGCATTTCTGAATTTTCTGCTGGCCTTGCAGGACATCTGTTGGAACGATACAGAGAAGATTAGCATGTCCCGTTGTCCCCTCCCCCCTCCCCCCCCCCCCGACAAAAAAAAGAGTCAAGATGCCTCTCGCAGAACGGAAACGGGGAGGAGGGAGGGGGGGGAGCTCATTGGTTATTGGGGAAGAGAAACTGATTTCAGTGATTTCACAACATTTCTGCTGGTGGTCTTGTGAAGAAGACTCTCAAGAAGTTGACCACACACATTGAGATCTCCTCTGCAGAAACAGCCTCAAAACCATGGTGAAAACAGTTAAAAGCTAAAACGGTTACATAATTAGCGCATACTCGTACTGGAATGTTCTCGACTGAACCCAGCTTTGATTGTGGCCAGACACATTCACGAAAGGACAAGTGCAAGTACCTAATCTCTGGCTTTGAATGAGGTCTGACAAGTTCAGGAAAGGACAAGTGTGAGTATGCCCTTACACTGTCTTTTACACATCATCAAGAGTTTTTTTTGGGAATACTGGAATGAGAGAGAGAGAGAGAGAGAGAGAGAGAGAGAGAGAGAGAGAGAGAGAGAGAGAGAGAGAGAGAGAGAGAGAGAGAGAGAGAGAGAAACACATACACAGACAGAGGCAACTGGCCAAAATGAACCACATGTGGATTAGAGTCATGAGATCAAGACTATCATAAAGTTCAACTTGACGTTACCTCACGAATTGTGAAGAAGTTGCCGAGGGACTTGGACATTTTCTCAGCATCAACAGTCACAAATCCATTATGAACCCAGTAGGAAATGTGACTTCCCTTGCAGGCGGCTCGGCTCTGCGCCAACTCATTTTCATGATGCGGAAAGATGAGGTCACGGCCACCACCATGGATGTCAAACTCATGGCCAAGGTGTTCTGCACTCATTGCCGAGCACTCAATATGCCACCCCGGTCGCCCGTGACCCCAGGGACTGGCCCATGCTGGTTCTCTTGGTTTTGCCGACTGAACACACATGGTGGCAACATTCCACATATTAGACACATATGAATGGGAATACAGCATGCATCAGATGGAGTACGCACACAATACAACATGATATGACATATACTAGACAAGTGGGTAAATAACAGGAAGGCAGGCTTGATGACTTCGAGCAAGACCATATTCATTCAAGAGGGGGTGCGGCGGGGAACAGTAAAGCAGCAGAAGAGGAGAAGAAGGAAGAGAATGAATGGGAATACAGCATTCACTAGACGGTACAGACACAACATAAAATGACCTGACATGTATTAGACACGTGGATAACTAACAAAGGAACAGGCATGATGACTTCCAGTAAGATCAGATAATGAGGGGGGTACAAAACAGTAATGCAGCAGAAGAGGAGGGGGAAGAGAAAGTGGATAGGAGGAGGAGGAGGAGGAGGAAGAGAAAGAGGATAGGAGGAGGAGGAGGAGGAGAAGGGATTGGAGAAGGAGGATAAGGAGGGAACGGACGAGAAGGAGAGCGAGGAGAAGAAAAGAGAGGGGAGGAGGACAGGAAGGGGGAGGAGGACGGGAAGGGGGAGGAAGAGGAAGAAGGAAGAGGAGGAGGAAGAGGAGGAGGAGGAGGAGGAGGAGGAGGAGGGGAAGGACGATAAGGTGGGAAAGAGAGTACCTTCCAAAGGGCAAAGTCGGCAGGGTTCTTCTTCCGTTGATCGAGGGTCACTCTTTCGCCAGCTCTGTTTTGCTCCTGCTTTCTTCCAGACAATGCTCCATAGCCCTCTATGCTATCAACTGAAAAGAACACATCTCCCCCTTCCACTACATATCCATGGCCGTTGTCAAGGATCTGAAACCATCCATCTCAGCACACACAAATGTGGGTCCCTCCTACAGCTCTCACATCTTCGTTCATTGCACAAAACAACCAACCCAACACACCAATTTCACCACATCACCCGCACTGCGCCCCTCAACAACTCCACGCCGGACATCCCTGACTCCATTCACCAGGAAAAACCGAAAACGCAAACCGTCGCAAAATCAGTGATCCACTGTTTTCCTTCTATTTGGCCAAGTGTTTCATTAGTTCACACAACAGTTTCAGCAGCTAGCTTGTGCAGTTCAGCATACGCGCCTCAACAGGAGTCAACAGTAACGGCGGGAGCTGCACCACTTTTACTTAAAGTAGGACCACACATACATTCATGCAAGTCCTAGAGTGAGTATGCCCTCAGAACTGGGGAAAAGGCCAAGATAGGAGGTGGTGAACTCACCCCTTCCAAGGCTTCCATCATTATCAAGCTATCAACCCATCCTGAAACGGGTAAGACTAATAAGACAAGCCGGACTGTGATTCTATAACTGCAATAGGCCAACACGACTATAGGCTTCAGATCAAAAAACTGTTGGCAAACCGGTACGACTGTGATTCTATAACTGTAATAGGCCAACACGACTACAGGCTTCAGATAACAAAAAACTGTTGGGAATTAACAGTGGCCTCTTGAGGGGGATTGTTGGGGTGCGGGAAAGGGCGCGGAGAGGGTGGGGGAAGGGGCGTGGATGTTAAGAGGGTGGCAAAGAGGGTGCTACTAATCCGGCTCAATTAGGCATTTAGGGGGCCAGTTAACTCGGAAAACAACCGATACATTTCTGGCCACACCCTCCCTCCCAACCCTGCTTGCCACCTTCTTTAAAGTTTAAAGCTCACAAATATTACATAAATCCTAAGTCTCCAATTAAGTGGGGCTTATTAGAGAATCCTCTTCCTATCCAACGTATATATAGCTTGGCTAGCCTACCTCTGTCGATCGAGGCACGTTAGCGGAATTTCCCAGTTTCGAAATCGGATATTATATTATGAAAGCACAGGAACGTATCGTTTGGATAGCTCAATGAGCCAAGTTCCCAATGAAGTGTCATAGGTGCTTGCATCAATCTGATACATTGTTCCAACTATAAATGTAATTCACTAATTTTCATCATTTTCTATTCCTGACTACAATGTTCCTCTTTCTCCCATATATTGAATTACAGTTACTTAAACTTATACGCAGAATTACACACAAATGATCTCATCTGGGTTTAGTGTGACCAGGGGAGGAACCTTGATTTCCCGAAAATCATCAAGGTTAGACACACCGTCCGTTCTTTCTAATGTGATTTGCCTGTAATGTGGCACAAAATTGCTAAACAGAATTTAACAGATAGTAAAATAAAATAAAAAACTAACTCTATGACGTGCGCTGTCTTTTCCAGGTTTCTTCCCTCATCCTTGTTTTTTTTCTTGTTGAAGGGGCAAGCCCCTAACAGTATTGCATTTATCTGTTTCAAACTTCCAGGCTCCAACAGGATTCGAAGTTCGAACCCATGATCAGTTTACGCAGTTGTACCACTTAGCCACATGGGATGGGGGGTTCCTCCTCATTCTTAAGAATCTGAACTTTCATCAGCCAAGGTTTTCTCGCCATCCTGAATGTTTTCGAGTGGAAAAAACGGAGTACTATTTAGACCGACATACACATCGTTGACTCGCTCACCTCATCAAGCACCTAACAAACCCACAAACAGGGAAAGACTCAGATTGAGCAGCACGACACTCCAGGGTCACACAGATTTCACCTCACTCCACACACGGACGTAGACTTCTGTTACCGGGGAAGCGGTCTGCAGCCTGTTTTCTTCATGAGAGAAAAGTTCAGAAAACGTTTTCCACTGAACAGACTACTGGCTGCGCAGCTCCCATTTCTTTCTTCCTTTTCACATCATCGGTTAAAAGCGCTGATGTGTGTGATGTGCAAGGACCTGTCGGCCATGTATGTTATCCTCCTTGCCATTCCGAGTGCTGATGATGAGTACATTGTCCAAGGTCCGGGCAATATGAACCGGATTGATTGCTTTTCAGACTTCCACCACATTGTAAATGTGTTTCTCTTCCATTTGGCGATTTCTTGGATCTACACCATGATTATCTGTTGATAGGCATGCAGTGCTTGGTAGCAGAGCAGACCAAGAAGAGGAACTGATTGATCTGATTGAGGCAGTGAGAGACTGACTGACTGACGCAGTGACGGGATGACAGACGGAGTGACAGATGGACCGACAGACATACAGACGCATGGCTGGATGGATAGAGAGAGTGAGAGAGAGATGGGGACAGGGAGAGAAAGGCATACCGAGGCACAGAGAGAGAGAGAGAGAGAGAGAGAGAGAGAGAGAGAGAGAGAGAGAGAGAGAGAGAGAGAGAGAGAGAGAGAGAGAGAGAGAGAGAGNGAGAGAGAGAGAGAGAGAGAGAGAGAGAGAGAGAGAGAGAGAGAGAGAGAGAGAGAGAGAGAGTTAGGCGAAGAGAGAGAGGGGAGGGGGAGCATTAAGCTCTCTTGTCTTGTGCCGCCATATTGTCACGTTGTTAAGCTACATGGGAAACAGCACGGACCTCAGCTCAAGGAGCCGTGATGTTCAAATAACATCCAATCTAAGGAACAAACTTCAAATGCATTGCGGTTCAATCTTTTTTCATGTTTTTTTCAGAGGGAGACGGCCTCGAGATACCATTGTCAAACTGACCGGCCCCAGGTAATTCAGAATTAGTTTATTTTATTCATCTGTTTCCATCTGGAATCGAACTCAGGTCTGTACTTCAACACTCCATGAGTGTACCAACCGAGCTAGGCCGGTTGGTCTTCTGGTTCCATCTACGGGACTCCTTCTCCTTTTTCAAGCTTGTACAGGAATAGAACATGGAGTGAATTTGGCTAATAAATTTAAAACTTCTCACACAAGTTCTGTTCAGGCCTGTTTTCCATATCAATTATGCGAAAGGAAGAAAATAAGGTGGGAATTAGGAGTAATACACTTTGGATCATGTCGATAATCTGCTTGATATGTGTGGAAACTTTGGGCTCTATGGACGGTGGCAAGCACCGAAGTGCAGCCATATCCATTTGAAACTCCTCACAAAACCGGGTGCTCAGGTTCAGTGGATCCTCGCCAATGGCCGCAGCTCTCGCAATAATCTGCAAAACACAGCAGTCACAGTAGCCAAGGCGATACACAAAGCATGAACAATAAGTTTTGAAATTTGAATGTCTTCTTTTTTTTGTTCTTTTTTTTCAATCGTCCAGAAGGGGATATGATGGATATATTCCGCTCGATGTTGCTGGCTATCGAGGTACAACTGTTTTATTGTTGTATTGGATCCTCTCAAGTGTGGCTCATTGTCTGTAATGGAAGTAAAGCTGATTCGATTTTGGATCTAATCATCTGGGTGTGTGAGGAATGTGAACTCAGGGGCCCTTAGACAACATGCATATGTTTCTGCCTGTGGACCCCCAGCAAGCCTCGTGCCCGCCCTAAGCGAAGGCGGGCCTGATTATTCACAAGAGGCCCTTTTCTCAGCATTTTCCAATACGGGTCTCAGCCAGTTGCTGCATGACAGTTGGTTAAAGTACAACCTGAGCCTTACCCTGGGCTCTTCCAGAGGAAACAACTGCGGCAAGCAGTTGAGCCCAGGGCCAGGTGGTTGAGCCCCGGGCACACACATTTTGAGGCCGATACATCACGAAGCAGCCGCGGGCCAACGAGAAAGCAGCATTGTCGTCACATCTTCCCGTGGACTAGTGCAAATGCAGCAAACAGTCGGAGTCTGGAAAATACGGGGACTGCCCAACTGCAAAGGGCCCCAGACCCTCAACTGCCGAAGAAGGGCCTGAGCGCAGGTACTGGGGCCTGACCGGAAGCTACTGGAAACCTCGACGGCCATGCCCAGACAGTCCAGCAGCAGCTGCCACTTCCATATAGGAAGCAGGGAAGCCAGGGAGAGGAATTTCTGGCCTACGCAGGCAATGCCGACACGCTGCTGCGACGCAGAGCAAGTGGCTGCATTAGTGCTGCTGGCTGGAGGCGCACATAGGCGCTGAGAGGTGAGGGCGCTACTGGCCATAGCCGGGCTGCAGGGTGCGAGGCGCAGTAGGGCGACAATGGGGTCTTCGGGAGGCAGCGCAGAAGTGGGTGTCAGGGGTGATGAGGGGTGACGAGGATACGTACGTGGTGTATGTGGGAGGTCGGCATTGGTGTTGACGACATGTACATTGGTCTCCAGAGTCGAAGTGAGCCTGTTGCAAGAATGTACTATGTAGATAGCATAAATAGGCAAGTAGAGTAGGCTAGGCACTGGGCGCCAGACAGAGAGGAGCGACTTTGAATACTGCGTTGGTGTGGCCTGAGGGCTTGAACATTGGCTCACGAGTTCATTGTATTTGCTCTTATTTGGATGGAATCTTGGTGCATTTGAGCTCTCTGCTTGTACGTGACTATCTGGACTTCTGCGTGATTTTAAAACTTGGTTTTCTGCATATCGCTCTCGCTCATATTCCTTGAAGGTGGAACAGGGGCTGTTGTGGTGAAAATCTACAACACACACAATCTTATATATGTACTATTTCTATCTTCTTTATATTTTATGAATTTTCTTTGTCCAAGTGAAAGCCTTTAAGTTGTGCAAGATGGTCCGTGCTTGTTTGTTCAAAGTGCCTGTAATACCATAGGGGGCTGCTTTGTTCATAATTTTTGTGTCGGCGTGTTCGACTCATTGTGAAGACTCAAGCTCGTCGTGAAAGAGAATCACTGGGAATAGCCAGCCCTTGGTTGAACCCTGGCCGTGTTTCTGATACACAGCTGAACGGAATACTCGTCAACGTGAGATGCCGGTGGGATAATTGCCCGGGCGTGTTCGGCAAGGCCGATCCACTACAAGATCGTTGGGTTATGAAAGACAGTCATCATCCTGGCTTCTTGGCTCCAAGGGTGATGTGAGCGATAGTCTGTGGTGGTGTGCTTCTAGTGATGGGCTGCTTTGGTCTGTGTGGGTTGTGTGGACTGCTTTGTCTTTCTGCTTCGCTGCCTGGGCAGCTCGACTTGCCTTTCTTTTTTTTTTTGAGAAGTTATCACTTTGTATTACCAACAACAGAAAGAGACATCGAGGCCGGGGACCTCACAATTCAACCCGGAGGAAACCAAAGAGCTGGAAACCGGGTCCAGCGTCCCATGACCTATTCCGCCTTGTTTGTTCGGTGCCACTTGCCTTGTTGTTTGGCTGCCTTTCGCTTCACTGCCTTTTGCCTCACTGCTGTGTGCCTTGTGCGTTGTTTCCTCACTGGCTTCATGCCTTCCTGCCGTCTGCCTCACTGTGTTTTGCGTCCCTCCCTTTTGACTCATGCCTTTTGCCTTGCTTTGTTTTGCCTCACGGCCTTGTCGCCTCGTATTGCCTCACTGCCTTCTTGCCTTGGGGCTTGGTTGGCTGCTGCTCATCAGCTCGCGCAGCTTGCCTTGTCGCTTGGGCAACTTGTTGCCTCGCTTCTGCTGCCTTATGGCTTGCTGCTTGGCTTCTGCTTTAATGACCAAACAAGGCATTTCTCAAGCAAGCATAAAAAGACTAAGCTTTGCTTTGGTGGGCATGGGTGGGTGCATGTGATGTCAAATGGGTGCAAATGGAGTCATCCCTTGGAGAGTGCACATGGTGTCAATTTTACCCTTTAGGGCCCTTTAGGGGTGCACATATTGTCAAAGGGGGCTCATAGAGCTAGATTTATCCCTTGGTGGCTGCATATGATGTCAAACGTATCCCTTGGTGATTGCCCATGGTCTCAAATTTATCTCTTGGTGAATGCTTGTGGTGTCAAATTTATCCCTTGGCCGATGGCATGGTTGGGGGAGGCACATACCGTCAACGGGCGCACATGGTGTCAAACTTATCCTTTGGGGGGTGCACCTGGTGTCAGACTTATCCCTTGGTGGGTGCACATGGTGTCAGATTTATCCCTTGGTGGGTGCACATGGTGTCAGACTTATCCCTTGGTTAGTGCACATGGTGTCAAAGGGTCCATTTAGTGTCAAAGGGTGCACACGTTGTGAAAGGGAGCAAGCAGATTATTATTGCCAGTTCACTTTTGCTCGATAGATTTGACACATGCTTTCTTCATAAGTTGGACACAGGTTTGCTTGATAAATTTGACACCAGCCCCACCAGGTGTCAAATTTATCCCCTCCATCATGTCATCACAGTTGCTTTGAACTTCCTAAGGACCATATCCCAATGGACTAGGTATAAGTCTTTGTTGCTGTTGTAAAAGTCAACTCTTGATAACATACGTTAGATTTTTTGAAGTCCTAGACATGGACAAATCTCAGCAGGGCCTGTCCATAAGGTGTCATCAAATGTGTTTATGAAGCTATGATATTCCATGTTCACACAACTCACATGCATGCAGCAGCCTCACAACAACCAGCAAGCGCATAACCCAGGTTCGCACAATTCACGTATCCAGAAGCCTTATAACAACCAGAAAGGGCAACCCAGCTTGAACCCAGGTTCACACAATTCACCAGCCTCATACCAACCAGCAAGCAAGCCAGCTTGAACCCATGGTCACACAATTCAAGTGTATGCAATAGCCTCACACCAACCAGCAAGGGTAACCTAGTACCCCCGTGAGGTGTTACGTCGGCGATAGCCCTGTGGGACATCATCCGTAAGGATGGGGATGATACAAAGAAGATTAGCATGGTCTTTGCGCAAAAGGGGGACACCCACAAACAGGAATGAACCCGGCCGAGAAAACGGGCCGGGTACGGGCAAAAGAGGGACCGTAGGGCTTTTGGCCGACACGAGGCGTTACCCCGGCCGGGATTTTTTTTGGGGTTCCACGAAGTTTGGAACGATACTGGGGAGATCTGCAGGGGTTAAGTCGTGTAGGACTGGCCAACTTGCTGACGTGGCTACTGGGGAGATCGGGGCAATCTGGTGGGGTCAGCAGGTCTCCGACGCGGGTGTCGAATTCTGTAACTGACTGAGGCTAAGACTCCGGGGGTCTGGCCAGTGAGGTCAAAAGGGGTCGGCTGGAACCCTACCGCATTCAGAGGATGCAATCTCAGTGAGGTTCGCCAGAGCCTGGAATCGTGGTTAGACAGGGTCCCATTTTCGAAAATCTGGGCGGGGCAGCCAGCGCCCTAAGCCAAAAACTGGTGGCTGAGCCCGTCCCCCGACCGCAGTGGTCAAATCCGGGTACGAGACAGTTTGACTTACGGGAGGTCTACTGACAAGGCCCCCCATCAGCTCCCCGGCCCTACAAGGTGGGCCCGCGCTTGGACTCCCCCAGCAAAACTAAGGAGGATAGTCCCGCAGGACCCTCAACCCCTCAGTTTCTCCGGCGCTCCACTACTCCTGCGCTGTTGCCTGCTGGCCTCGATCCCCGTTCCTCCGTCGCAATAGTCCAATACCGTAACCGATAGGGCTAAGCCCAAGCCTGTAACCAGCAGGCGCGGCTTTCCATATAAGTTGGTACCGCGCGGCGCTTCGGGCCAAGAGACCGCCCGGTCGCCCTCTCGGCCCACAATTGTACCCACGGCCCCTAGGTGCCCGCGTCGGCCTACCACCCCGCGCCGTGGCCGTCCCATATGCCTATTGGCGCGCCAGTYCTACCGCCGGTCGCRCGCGCCGACYGAAAAYAACTTTCATTCTCTAACCAAGCCCATCACACAGTCTGGGCTGGTCGGCTACCCCGGCCGCCCACTCAATCAGAAAAAATCACACGCGCGCTTTAAATTTGC